GCTGTGGGGTGCGGAGGGTGCGGGCCGATGGGAGCAGCCGCCTGCGGGCTGGTCAGCCCGCGCCACCCCGGAGGCTGCGAGCGCCGGTGACCTTGGGCAGCGCGGGGCTCTGGGGCCCGGCTGCTGCCCTGGGGCCGTGACGTGCCCTCCGACCCCGTGTGGGCTCCTGGACTCACGCCTGGCCGGAGGGCCGGGCCGAAGTGGCGGTCACCTGCTGGCCGCCGGCACCCCGCCAGCCCCACGCGCCTTCTGCCTTGTGTGTTGCAGGATGTCTGAGGGCGACGGGGCCGGGGGCTCCGGGCACGGGAAGCCGTCCGCCGTGTACAGGTTTTTCACGAGGCTCGGGCAGGTTGGTGTCTGGTCAGGCGTCCGGTGCGTGCTGGAGGTAGCCCTGAGCGGGTGCATTCCCCCCGGGGCCGCGGCCAGAGCGGGCGGGCGGGTGGCAGCTGTCCCACGGGCATCCCCGCTCTCCGACAACCTGTAGCGGGGCTGCGCGCTCGGCCGCTGGGGGCACCCCGCTGGGCTCGGGTGGGTTCTCCCCGGCCCTGGGTGAGCAGCTGCCGCCCTCGGGTGCGGTCAGGGAGGGCAGCCGGCTGGCGGACAGCGGCCCCTGCCTGGCCACGGAGTCTGCGCCGCATGGCGGCTGGAACCAGGTGGCGCGGCCTTGGGTGGAACAGCTTCAGGGTCCGTGTGGGAGGGTGCGGGGCACCCTGGGGTGCTCCCCCAGGGCCCCAGGCCGGTGCTCCGGCGCCCACCGTCCTCGATGCGACTGGTGGGCGGCCCCGCCTGCTGCTTCTCTCCCAGGTCTACCAGTCCTGGCTGGACAAGTCCACGCCTTACACGGCCGTGCGGTGGGTGGTGACGCTGGGCCTGAGCTTCGTGTACATGATCCGGGTCTACCTGCTGCAGGTAGGCGGCTGCTGAAGGAAACGGGTCAGCGGCTCAGGGTGGGCCCCTGCCTGCCCTGGAGCGCTTGGTCTGGACAGAGGCCCTGCCGCGGCCCTGTCCCTGGACACTGGGGACAGAGTGAGCCCGGACCGGCCCGGGGGCTGCTGTTGCTGCTCTTGCAGCCGGAGGCTCGTGCCCCCCCGGGGAGGTGCCCACCCTGGGGCCGATGGCGCCGCGCCGCCCCAGGGCTGGTTGTGGTAGCGTGCGGGGGCTCCCCGTGTTAGTCCAGGGAGGGTGGGCGCAGCCAGCTCAGGCCTGAGGTGAACACCCGAGCCGCGGCGACCGACCTCCGGCCCGCTGAGAGTCCGCCGGTGGCCGTTCTGTGGTGGGGCCCTGGTTGGGGTGAGCGGGGCCGGGTGGCTGCCGGGGTCAGTCTACTCCACAGTGGCCTCTCCGGCCCGGGGGTGGGGTTGGGTGCGGACGCCTGCCCGCCTGCCCTCTGCAGACGGCTCCCCTGTGCCCGCCTGGCCGGCTGGCCGCCTCGGCCTCCTTCATGTGGGCGTGGCCGGCCCTGCTGACTGTCTTCCTTCCAGGGCTGGTACATCGTGACCTACGCCTTGGGGATCTACCACCTGAACCTCTTCATAGCTTTCCTGTCTCCCAAGGTGGACCCTTCCTTGATGGAGGACTCAGGTAGACTCACGGGTGCTCTCCCTGCTGTGTGGGGTGCGGGGTGTCTCCCCTGGACACTGAGGTCCAGGCTCCGAGCCGGCCCCTCCCTTGAGGGAGACAGCTCCGTCTCTTCACCACGTGTGGTGGCCCCACTTTGCAGATGGTTCAGCTGGGGCAGGGGCACTGGCCCAAGGCCCCCTGACCGCCCACGCCCCCTTGCCTGTGACCCCTTGCCAGGGTGTAGCTGGCCCGGGGCAGCGAGGGCCGGCAGTCGCTAGCATCGCCGTGCCCAGCGGGCTCCGTAGAGCGGTGCCGGTCGTGGCCCCACTGGGAGCCCGCTGGCCGTGGCCCGGGGTGTGCGACCCGCCTGGCAGGGCCCTGGGGACATTCAGGAGCTGGCGGGCGCAGGCGGCCCGCGCCTCAGCCCTGCCTCTGCCTTCCAGACGACGGCCCCTCGCTGCCCACCCGCCAGAATGAGGAGTTCCGGCCCTTCATCCGGAGGCTTCCGGAGTTTAAGTTTTGGTGAGTCGGTCCCGGGGCCTGGCGGGGCGTGTCGGGGCCCCTGCCACCCCGTGCTGGGTGCTCCCAGAAACTGCCCCGGGCCTCCAGGAGGCCGGTCTGCCCCACGCCCCTGCTTGGCTCTCAAGGAGCCTCTGCTGTCCAGCTGCGAGTCTTCACCACGCAGCCCGGGGTGCCCAGGGCTGGGAGACGCTGCCGCACAGGCGTGCCAGCTCGGGGGGAGACTGCCAGGGCCTTGGGGCTCCCCTCGGCCTGTGGGTGTGGGCTGGGCGAGGGCCCAGTCCCGGGGCGACGCTGGTGGGCAGCGCTCTGGCGGAGCAGGGGGTTGGCCCCTCACCCAGCGCCCCTCCTAGGCACGCGGCTACCAAGGGCATCTTGGTGGCCATGGTCTGCACCTTCTTCGAGGCCTTCAACGTGCCCGTGTTCTGGCCCATCCTGGTCATGTACTTCATCATGCTCTTCTGCATCACCATGAAGAGGCAGATCAAGGTGAGGCCGGCGCAGGCGCCTGCGGGCGCCCGAGCCTCTCGCCTGCCTCCCGGTGCAGGCGGGGCCCTGGGGCGGGGGTGGGCCGGCCAGGCCTGGGCTCACTGTGTGTCCGTGTCCGTCGCAGCACATGATCAAGTACCGGTACATCCCGTTCACGCACGGCAAGAGGACGTACAGGGGCAGGGAGGACGCGGGCAAGGCCTTCGCCAGCTAGGCGGCCGGGCCGGGACCGGGAGCAGCGCTGGCCTCGCCACGCGGTAGCCGATCGCGAGGGAGTTGGAATTTCTTCCCAAAAGGAGCTTGTCTGTGGCTGGACTGCCGGGGGCCCTGAAGACACCGGCGCCAGCCCAGTCGCGGCTGCCCGGGAGGCCCCGGGCCCCAGCCCGCCGCGGAGGGGCCGCCCTGCTGCCCTCCCGCCGCCGTGCGACAGTTGCTCTGGGGCTGCAGTCGTAAATACATGGACTATATTTTAATTGTTTCGGATTCTGACAGTTTCTTTGACACGTCTGTTCCGGGTCTGACTAGCTCAGATCCCTCCCGGCCGGCGGCAGCCGGGGCGGCCAGCACACAGCCTCGCGGCTGCCCGGCATGTCCACTGCTTGAGAAAAGACGCACTGGCACGCTACGCGGCGGCTTTTAAATTGCAGCTCGGCCGGGGACAGGCC